CCCCAAAACCCCAAAACCCCAAAACCCCAAAACCCCAAAACCCCAAAACCCCTAATAAAATTAGACAATTGACTGCTTTTTATAATAATTTTGTCAAAGAATTTGCTTTGGGCAAGAAATTAGAATCATTTCTTATGGATAATAGATGCTCCTTCTTCCTGATATTCTGCCTCTGTAATCCACATTGACTGGAATGTGGACAGAGCTCCCAGAATAGACCCTCCAAGCCATACACTGTACTTTCTTTCTGGAGGATAGGTCACTTCTATTCTGTTATTGGAAGAAGCTAATTGTTGGATTTCATATTTAAGCCTTTCATTGACTCCATCGAATAGAGTTGAGCCACCTGCTAATACTATGTTAGAGAAAAGACCTTTTCTGATATCAGCATCTCATTTCATAATGGAGTAGTAAGAATACAGATGGATGCCCTCAATGTCTTTGAAGCCAGCATGGTCTGGCTGGAAGAGAATTTCAGGGCACCTGAATCTCTCATTTCCTACAACTATATTTCTCTGATCTGGGAGCTCATAGGATTTTTCCATTTGGACGTTGTCAATAGACTCTGACATATGTTTATCGAAATCTTGCTCAACTGCAAAGCAAAGTCTTTCCTTAATATCCCTGACGATTTCGATTTCAGCTGGAGTGGTAAAGCTGTAACCTCTTTCTTTCAGAAGTCCTCTGAGATATTCTGTAATATCTTTACCTGCGAGAGGAATTCTATGGATTGCATGAGGAATAGCAAATCCTTCATAGATAGCAACTGAATTTGTGATTCCTTCTCCAGAATCTAGCACAAGCCCAGTTGTTTTTCCAGAAGCATACAAAGCTAGAACTGATTGCTGTTGTACATAAAGTCAAGGGACATTAAATACTTCGAACATCATTTCTGTCATCTTCTCTCTGTTTTCATCTGGATTTTGGGGTGCCTCTGATAGTAACATCGGGTGCTCCTCAGGAGTTACTCTGAGTTCATCATAGATGGTATGCTTCCATACTTTTTCCATATCTTCCCAATCCTTTACAAAGCCTGCTTCTATAGGGCTGGAAGTATTAAGGACTCCTCTCTTTATTTGAGCATCTTCTCCGACATAGACATCCTTTTGCTCGAGAGAGACCATGAGAGATGGCATTTTACACTTTCCTACGAGGGTTGGAAAGACAGATCTAGGAGCATCATCTCCAGCAAATCCTGCTTTAGACATTCCTGTACCGTTGTCAATGATGACTGCCAATACTTCTTCGTCCATTAGGTTGATTTAAATTTATTTTATTTCAAAAAAGTTATTATTTTTGGGGTTTTGGGGTTTTGGGGTTTTGGGGTTTTGGGG